AGAAAATCACCCTGTTTTCTTTGAAATGTTAGAGAAGGAAAACCCAGTTTCAAGTTTTCCTTACTTAGTTGATGATGCAGGGGATTAAATTCAAACAAAGCCAGGTCTGCGTCTTCCTATCATACAATTATTTTGTTTTCCATGCTATGTATATCCTTGCAACTCTAGTAGTAGCTCATGAGATTATTTCTCATGGCAGTTCCCCCTATTAGAAGTCCAGAAGGGAATCAGAGCAATGGTCACTATTGGAAACAGCATAAACACAGCTCTGCAAGTCACCTCTGAGCTACCAAGGTCACAGGAAAAAAAACAGCTTCTCTGCACTTGCTTAGAAAAATGTGACCACCAGGAGAGTTGGTGGATGTCAGGTGCAGCCTGGAGTCCCTCCAAGGTGTTTATATAAATCAGCTTCTTCTGCCAAAGGTCAGGTCAGCACACTGCTCATGGCTGCTGGCTTTTGGTGGCTGGTTTGAGGAACACGTGTTTCTATGTTCCAGCACTGTTCTTCCACCCATACCTCAGTTCTGATCACACTTGTTTCTCCTGTGAATGGGAGATTTTCAAGTGCTGATCAGAAAGAGCTGGTGGTTTTGGTCTGCTTCCTGAGCATTTTGTCTCAAGGCCCAACACCTGAGGCATACTCTTTTGTCAACATAAGAAAATTCACTGTGTAAGAACACTGTGAACTTTATACTACCATAACTTTTAATTCCAGTCCTCAGTTAATTCTAATACTGGTATGATCACAAGGAGATCAGCAAACAAGCACTCTTACCACTGGTTGCAGCAACGCCTCCCCTTCCCTTCCCTTCTTTTCCCTTTCCTTCCTTTTTCTTCCCCCCCCTTCACCCCTCCCCAAGACCCTTTTTTCTCCCATAGGAAAAGTTGGTTATTTAAAATAAGAAGTCATGGCCAGCGAAAATTCCTTTTTATTTTCAACAGCTGTTTGCAGAAAACTGAAGAAAATGTGCTGTGCTTCTGGAAAGAAAGCTCTTCTGATATCCTGCTCATAGGGAACAGTTGTAGAAGGAATGATTATGTATATGTACATCTTTACAGATAATCTGAAAAAACTGAAAAAAGCTGACTGACAATTGCTGAGGATGGAAATCTTCTGTTTAGCAATCAGTTTGTTTGCCTACAGTGCTTGCCAAGTGTGACTCTGCTGTTTCAGGAAGACTAGACTCAAGATGTGAAGATGTCTAGCCACCACATCAGTTTGATTCCAGCCACTTTGCTGAGGTTTGCTGAGCCCTCCAGCTGTCATCCCAACTCCCTAACATGGAAGTAGCTGCTTAGGTTCCTCTTCTACTTCAGTATTTCTCACCATCTGTCCCATAATTTTCAGTGTGTTGGATGCTCTCCATGCAGCCTCAAGGATTTCTAAAGAAAGGGAGGGTGAGACAGCCTGGGTCTGATTGCCCTCCAGGGCAGGGTTTTGTGAGAAGGAGAAGGGCCGTGCCCAAAAGACTGTCATCAGTAGCGTTCGGTAACCAAACAAACACCTTCTTAGATGTCAAGGCCTGGGTGCCCCTTGATGCTCTTCTTTCCATGATGAGTTTGGCTGGAGCTGGCAGTCTGTTCTGTGCACTACTTTCCAGAGCAGTGAGTTGGGAATACTCTACAGTGTTGTCTTACTCAGGTCCTCAGGGCTTTATAGGTCAGCATCCTACATTCTGGCGTTTCTGTATTGGTAGTTTATGTATTTTCCTTATTTTGATAGCATGGCTGACATGAGCAAATGGACATGTCGTGCTGAAGGAAAGCAGGTGCTGCTACCACCAGCTCCTTGCCTGGGTGCAGACCATGGCCCTGGTAAGTGTTAGGCATGAGCAGCAGCTGCCCAGGTGGTGTGGTGATGCTGACTTGGGATGCATGCATATCTTCCATATCTTCAGAAAATACACTTCAGGATGAAGCTGTGGCCCCTTTCTGCCAGGTAGGTAGAAAGTGGCTTTCACGGGGAAAGCACATAACAACTGTACTCTGGGCCATTGCAATTGTTCCCAGACATCACACTATTGTTCTCTTACCAGTGCTAAAGTAATCTTGAAAGGCTAACTGTGAACTGCTCCACATTTTTCTGCAAGATCTTTATTTGCTACTTACAGCACTGCAAGATATTCTAGGGGCAACCTTCCTCTTCCACCTCTAAGGCACTATGACCCCTCTCTGCCAAATGTCAAAACTGCAGTCACCTCCAGCTCCCCATTCTGTCCATCTTGTCCTGTGGTAAAGCTCCTCCTCAGACCTGGAGGAGCTTTATGAACACAGTCTCTCTGTCTGTGACCGACTGTCAGCCTTATTCAATGCTGTGGGAATGAGCAGCGTTTTGATCAAGGGTCCTGCTTGCTTTGTCTTATCTCTATTGTCACTACTGTAAACCTGTGAGGACCCAGGTGTGGTGAAATTTTGACTGTGTTGTGAGAAAAAATGTGCAACTAAAGGCAATTTACTGCAGAAAGAGTTGGATGGATGTTTAGAAATCATAAAATAAAGCAGGATCTGCAGACAGTAGTGGCAACAGCTGGCATTTTGTTTTGTACACTGGAAAAGATTATTCACCATTAAGGGCTACCTGGGGCTGTCTTGCACTCATTGTACAGTAGTGATAGTAGGAGATGATTTGATGGTGACAAAATGGTTGCTGTCCTTGTCTGGAGTGGTAGCTCAGCAATTCAACTTCTGCTTATTCTTCTCCACATCAGCATTTTTGGCTTCTCTGTGAAGAGATGTCCTTACAGGTTTTTTTTTTTGCTGAGTGGTTCTAGTATCCAATATTGTTACTAGTAAAACAAATATGTTGAAAGCATGCATTTCACCAAACCTACAAGGTGTTCTTAATTTGTGCACAGGGATGCCACGTTTAGAAAGGAGGAGAAAGCTCAGGCACAGTGAAGGTACAAAGTCGTGAAAGACTGAAACCCACAGTGAAGCACAGTAAAGCCCAGAGAGGTGGATGCCTCATCCGTGGAGGAACTCAAGGTCAGGTGGGATGGAGCTCTGAGCACCTGATCCAACTGCAAGGGCCTTTAAAGGTCCTGTCCAGCTCAAACAATGGTATGATTCTGGGAAGGCATACCCTGTTTCTGGGCTTTGTGTTTAGGGAAGGAGACCAGATGTTTCAGATAAATCTGAAAGACTTATCCCGTGATCTGGACATTTACCTGGGAATGTCAGGGTAAAGATGAGAATATCAAGTTCCCAGCAGACTCATTCAGGATAAAGTTTGGAGTGATGGCATGCACATTACAAGCAATTACATTAGTTCTTTTAAGCATCCAGTCACATTCTGTTAATGTGAAAAAATAGCCAAGAGAGCCTGACCCATGGGAACCTCATTATCTGTCGAGAGCAGAAAAACTCACGCTCATACATGAGAAAATTCTATAGACAAAAGTGTCTGTTTAGGTTTGTGCATGCTGTTTTTAGCATTTTTCCGTAATGATCACAAGTGCCTTACAAACAAGCTGGTATTGTAACATCATAGTAATTTTCTGAGCAGTGTGCTGAGGTGGTTGGAGCACCAAAGCAAACCAGATCTAATGGAAGCTCAGTTTGTTGAGCTATCAGAAAATCCATACTGCTCAGTCCCAGGGTCCTGAGCATCTCCTGGCCTTTGGAAGGACTGGGAAGTTCCTGTCCTGTTTAGTATCACGCATTAGCAGTATATAAAAGTTTGAAATTTTAATCGTATCTAATCATAAGAAAATCTGCTGTGCCCAAGTTGGATGGGATCTGTAATGATCATTGCATCCAACTACCAACTCCACAGAGCACCATCCAACATCCAAACCCTGTGTCAAGGACATTCTCCATATGTTCCTTGAACTCCCACCGCCCTGTGCATCCCGTTCCGTGCCCACCGCCCTCTGGTGCAGCCCCTTTCCCTGAGCCCCAGCTGCCCTCCCCTGACGCAGCTCCATGCCGTTCCCTCGGCCCTGTCGCTGTCACACACAGCACAGCTCAGCGCTGCCCTCCGCTCCCTGGGAGGAGCTGCAGCCGCCATGAGGGCTCCCCTCAGCTCCTCTGCTCTGCACTGAGCAAACACAGGGACCCTCAGCTGCTCCTCATACATCTTGCCCTCAAAACCTTTCACCATCTCTGTATCCCTTGAAATCCTCCTGCATGCACTTCTGTGCATGACTACATCTGTATGTGCCATCAGTTGTAAGATTTTAGACGTGGCAAATTTAACTTACCGGGTCAGTAATATTTAAAAGTGAAAGCCTCAGAAGTGTTTTGGTTCTAGGATTTCAAAGACAGTTTGTGGTTTCAGCAGTGGCATGTGTATGACTTTGGTTTTAGTTTGGCATTAAGGAATTTAGGCCTGAACGGCAGCTAGAAATGCACATGGCTATCAAATATGTGGAATTTTCACATCCTAAAAAAAGGTTAAAAAAGCAGTGAAACATGAAGCAAAATAATTACCAGCTTGTAAAATTTTTATCTACGGCTCAGTTCTGCAACCAACAATTAACTGTTCAGAATGATGCAGCCATCTTGTACCAATAGCTACTGACCAACAGACAAGCACGTTCTACCACAGAAAATGCTACAGCTAGCTCACAAAATTAGTGAGACTCTTGTGAGTACTGCCACCTCCTCCCCTGTCCCTAGCATATATGCACCGGCTGGGGAAAGCCCCATGATCTTCACCATCTTCTTAAGCACCTGACTGTGCTCAATATCAAAGTGTTTTGCCAGAACCCTTCGCTGTGAATGTAAAATAGAAGTAGACAGGAACTTCAGGCTCAGAAGGGTAGGAAAAAGAGCCACTGCAAATTGGCACGTGAACATTTCGCTTTTTTGGGTTAGGGACTGTGCTAAGCATGGGTCATTCTCCAGCCAAGAACAGCCTGCAGCCTGGTGCTCCACGAAGGTGCAGCAATGCCTCTCCTGCTCTCCGACCTTGTTCTGTGAATGGTGCTCACTTCCCTGCCCTGCCCACATTCCCAAGCAGTGCCACTGACAGGCAAGGACAGCCCCACACCTCAGGGTTGCAAAGTGAACATTTTATTGAACTCAAGTTGATGCAGAACAGAAGGGCAACAATGGCTCAAATGTTCATTGACAGAATGCCCCAAGATGTTTCACGCACAGAATTTAAATACAGTTTGCATGGAAACAATTGAAAAAAGTTTTACAGTACTCTGAATCAAAAGGGAAGTCACAGCCCTGTTGTAAGCCTTCATGTTTCCCAGATGCTGCCCTCCCTTAAACAATTCCATATCCTTCCCCAGAAGAAGGCTACAGAACTTCTGGCCATATCCCTTTCCCTTCAGGTATACAGAGCAGAGCAAAACTTCTGAGAAGAATCGCAGTTTAAAGTAGCCATAAGTCTTCACATGAATCACCATTAACATATCCAGAAAGACTGGTTGTAACAACACTGTTTAAGGAAAGCTAACAAATGAACAAGGTTACGATATCAACACTTTAATCCAAGTTGTTTAAAACTAATTGAAGCAACTTTGCTTCCAATACTTACACACATGTTTTACAAAACGCTTTCAAATATTTCTACTTTTTGATTAGTGACAAGATCAAATGAAGACCTGGAAGCAGTCAGCAGTGATCTGCTTCCTATGATGGTTTAGAGCATAGCTACTATTTCAAAAAAGTTTTCTTTGGGCATCGTTTTCCCCCTACAAACCATAACATGGGAAACCAGTCCTCATAACTTGTGATTTTTTTTTCCAGACAGCTGGAGAGGGCTGATGCCCCCTCATGTCTCGATGTTGTTTGAAACCGCAGTGAGATCCAGCTTCCTTTCAGGAGAAGGAGCATCTGCTCCTCTCCATCAGTCATTTGCTCCAGACCTGTTGTAGTGTATCCCCAGCCAACATGCCGCCATCTGCAGTGCTTGCTCCTCTGAGCAAGCAGGACACTTGTATGGGGCAGGGCAATAAAGTCACAGGCCTAGAGTCAGTGGGTTCTTCCACATCTGCCAAACAGGAATGGCAGCTCAAGGGCAACAAGAGATAGGTATTGCAAAATAGTGCCGTAAATTTACATAGGCTGTTTGGTATACTTGCAAGGCTTAAGAAATGCTTGATGCAAATGAGCAAAACCTTCAATTAAGGTCTTTACAGTAGCTTGTCAGATCTCATGGTGATGCACAGTGGTGGACCTCTCAAGTAGCATTAACCTCCAGCTGCAACAGATACACAGGTAGTAAACCAGAAGATGCATGCAAATACGAGTCAATCTTTTCACATAAAAGGAGGAGAAAAATTTGTTAACTACACTAACCTCATTTTACATAGTGGTAGTACAACAAATACTAACAACACATTAGGACAGCTGTATACCAGTACTGAATGTCTCACAACGGCAGCTGAAGTAAGATCTGTACAAACAGTTTAGATGAAGAGCACTGCACTGCCAAAACACTATAAGAAGCTTTCCATTGTTTCAATCTGAGAAGACACTTTGTTGAAAGCTGGGTTGAAATCCAGCTATCCAGTGCAGACGCAGCACAGACAAAAGCTCCTGCACTTAGACCTAGGCACTGCTGTCCGTGTGCCTCAGTGTTTGAGTCCAGATGAATGCTGCTCTTACTGTTAAGCAAGAGGTCATCCCTTCACATTGCCGTTTGAAATGTGGAGGTTAAGCCAAGGGATCCAGAATCAGCTTGGCCTCAAATATGTCATACAAGTCATGCAACAGAAAGGAATGCCTCTGCAAGCTAGTTCATCTTCACGACTGCGAGATATCTGAACCCACAAATTCAAGGCAAAAATTCAAATTCCCATTTACTTGAATGCATATTTTCAGACATTTTCTGGTTTACAATGATATACAACAGTTTGGATTAGTTTTTCTTTGTTGTTGTTTTTTGTTGGTATTTTTTTGTTGGCATTTTTTTGTGGGTTTTGTTTGTTTTGTTTTTGTTTTCTTTTTTTTTTTTTTAATGCTGGAGATAAAGTTTATTAGAGATACTACCACTATTTTGGCAAACATTCCAAAATCATATTTGTAAACATAGTGCTTCCCTTTTCAATTGGCTGTATTTTGAAAAGACAAACGTAAGACGAAGTAAGATTTTGCTCTATTCCGACCAGATAACCCGTGTTTTCACATGACAAAGCAAGCAATGATTTAAATCAAAATAAAATAAAAACTGCATGAAATGAAAATTTGTGCTGTTTTGTGATCACAGTATTTCATAGTTAAATACATCTGTTCTTTGTTATATTCCTGGCACCCAGGACAGAAATCTTTAAATATACATTTCATGTAGGCAATAGCTTCTTTGCATAACTCTCTTCAAAAAATACTTTATAGCAGTATATAAATAGGTAGCCTACATGTTTAGTTTTATAATCTTGCCCCAAAACTATATATCTGTTTAATTTTTTGTAAAGTATCAATTTTTTTTACCAACATTAATAAAGCTGACAAACTATTGAAATGGAAATGCTCTCATCTTCCACAATAGAAGTAGCAATTTTATAGGAAAAAATTCTAGAGGAACACTCGTCAGTTGTTTTAACCTGAGCGATGTCTGGCCTACTTAGAGTAGTTGGAGTAGCAGCTTTTTTTTTTTCTTTTTTTTCCCCTCCTCATCATGCATGCTCACACCCACACATTTTTGCATACACACAGAACAGGCACACACTTTCAGACACTGGTAGGCCATGTAGTGCTTCCCAGGTGTTTCAGCAGGCGGGAAGCAGTGTAGCTAATAATTTAACTACACTAAATACACACAAGCAAACACCTTAAGGCAACCATTGCGATGGGGGGTTTAAGTTGCAGTGATGAGTTTCTCTAGTAACAAAGACGGGCTGTATATAGACTTATATACAACACCTTTTTTACCCTCCAAAACAATGTTTTTGTTTTTTGTTTTTTTTTCTTTTTGTGGTTTTTTTTTTGTGCAAATTTCTAAACCTTCTACCATTTAAGGCAAAGAGTTTGCATTAACAAGAAAGGTCAGAAAAATAGCCTTATATTTATCCAAAAGTATTTCAGTTCGCTACACTATTTTCTTAAAATGTGCACAACTTCACAGTAGATGTACTGGGTCCCAGCACCTACTGATAAAATGATTTAAATGGACAAACATAAGTCTTGAAGAAAAAAAGGGACCAGAGAAAGCAGCTTCAAATATGCATACAAACAACATCAACAACAGAAGTAGTCAACTCAAGTAAACTAATACTGAAAAACTTTTGTAATGCAAAAGTTCAATCTTAGAATCTTAGAGCAACTCATATGGAATTTTAAATAAATAAGTTTCCATTCATTCACATATGCTGGTCTGAGCAGGAGACTAGTGCCGTAACTCTGATTGCTGTTGGTCAAATTCACTTATAAGTCTTTTAATGTGAGACAGCTTGTTATGGAGATATTCACATCTGTGTTTCTCTTCACGATAGTTGGGACTAGACTGTAAGATAAAAAGAAAATTAGGGCATGAAAATATCTGAAGTTTAGTATTTCCTGCCCTTTGCTTAAGAATGGCCATCAGCCCATTCCAACAGTTTATAACTCCCACAGACCTGGTGCTACACATACCTGTTGTATCTTTCGATACTCTTCTAGGACTTCCTCATGAAGCATCTTAACAAAAAAAAAAAATTGAAACATGAAAGCAATATGAAGAACATTTCATTACTACTAGAAAATACAACCAAATAGAGCATTAAAATGAAGTTTTACTCAAGATATTTTCTTATCCAAGAGTCACCACTGTTCTGAGTCACAAAAAAACACAGACTAACAAACACAGAACACAGCCCAGATCTGCAATTAAATCTGTAAACAAGCAACAGGAAGAAAATGCGTTTGAAGATTCCCTTTGTGAAGTCATTCACGCCACTGTAAAATACTTGCTTTCACAGAGAGCACACTTGGGTGGAGTCTTCAAATAAGGGCTAAATGACTTGTTACATGGTTCTGTGAAGCCACAGAAGTCAAGAGTTAGCCAATGTAGGGTCAGACCACGTACGTGAGTTCTGTAAAGCTTCTCTCCTTTGTTTGATTGAGCAGTACCAGGGATTTTAAAATACTCCTGCGCTCACAAATACATTTGCAATCTGCGCAAAAACTTATAAAAACTAGCCAGATGCTACCAAACATCCTCAGCACACACAGAGAATTTAAGAATTCCAGTACTGAACATTTGGAATTTGCATGTCAAAATAATGTCATCCCAGGCTTGAAAGCTGGAATGCAAAGTTTTTAATACCCTTCTTTGCTAAAATTTACAGTTAGAAGCCAAATAAGTTTGTGACTGCACATCTTGTTAAGTATACAAAATAAACTTGTCCCCTTTAAACAATGGGAAATAGCAGGTCAGCAAAGCCTGGGGATTATGGTCCTTTGGTTCTTCTCCTTTCTCATCAGTGCAGCAGTACTCTCTTACTTCACCAGGATGCTGTGAGGCAGTCAGTAAAACTACAGCCAATCTGGTACCTCCTAACATACAACTAGTTACTTGGTATCCCTTGGACACTGTAAAATCATGTCAGTGTAATTTACCGGATTACAAAACTGAAGCATCTGCTTATTCTGAAAATACAGAATTCTGTAGGGTGTAAAAGATGGAAATAAGGCACAGTCTTCATGGTTTTACTCTTCTTTACCTGATATTCCTTGGACCCTGGAGAAAGCTGTTTTCGCTGTTCATCAAGCTTCATGAATTTTCTGGTGATACTCTCCATTCGAGCATGCAAACTCCTGTATTCGTCATACTCTGCATTGAAGTCATCCTTATAACGCTGGCGTTGCTCATATGAGACTATAGCTATGTATTTTCTAGTAGAAAACACAAATGCATATTCAATCTTATACAAAAGACACTTCATGGTATCGAACAGATGCAGTGAGGGAGCGGTTAACTGCTGAGCTCTGCCCTACCTTACCTCCTCTGCAAGGAAAATTTTGAAGGTTAGGAACTGATTACTTTGTCTTTATCCAGAGACATTAACATTCAGCAGGATATACTGTGAGCAACAAACTGATTATGTGACAAAAGCACCAAAAGATTCTCAAAACAGAAATTCAGCTTCAGAAAAGAGCAAGGTCTCATAGAGACATAAACAAAAGACTGGAACTAACATATGCCTGCCCCATGCTGAAAGCCCTGCTGAGCATGACAATGAGGGAAGTTGATTTGTGAACTCAGGATTGCTGTTATAATTTGACTAGTCATGTTTGAATACAAATGGAATGGAATAGTTTGGTTTGGAAAGGACCTCCAGAGATCATCTTGTCCAACTGCCTGACCACTTCAAGGCTAACCAAAAGTTAGAGCATGTTATTCTGGGTATTATCCAAATGCCTCAAACACTGTCAGGTATGGGACCACCTCTCTGGGAAGCCTGTTACAGAGTTTGACCAGCCCCTTGGTAATGTCCTAACATCCAGTCTGAATCTTTCCTTGGCATCTTTGTGCCATTTCCATCAGATACCAAGAACACAGCCCAGTGCCTCCCTCTGCTTCCCCTCCTCAGAGAGTGGCAGAGAGCGACGACATTACCTTCCAGCCCTCTATGGACTAGACAACCCAATTGCCCTCAATCTCTTCCCACAAGATATGCCTTCCAGTCCTGGTAGCAGCTTTGCTGTCCTCCTCTGGATGTTTCTGAGGATCTTAACATCCTTTTTAGATTGTGGAGCCAAGAACTGCAAACGGCATCAAGGTGAGGCTGCTCCAGTGCTAAGGCTCTCCTGTTACTCGTATCCCAGACTGTCCCAGACAAGGTGAGGAGCCTGGTATTTTCCTTTGTTGAACTTCACGCCACTGTAGTGGTCTGTAGTCCATTCCCTACAACCTTTTGAGCTCTTCTATCGAGACAGTTCATCACTCAGTGTGGTGTGAACCTGCTTATCTCACAGATCGACTGCTCCAAAGGCCTTACTTGAAATATAGAAAGATTACATCTACTGCCTTCTCTCCACTCATGAAGCAGGTGACCTTATTAGAGAAGGAGATGAAATTATTACGGCAGGACTGTCCCTTCATGAGCCCACACTGACTGTGACTGATAATAGCTTTGTTCATTAACTGACTTCCTGTATCCCCTAGGACAATCTTCTCTGTAACTCTTCCAGGGACTGAGGTTAGATTTACAGGTCTGTAGTTTCCTGGCTCCTCTCCTATGCTCTTTTTGTAGATTGCTGTAATGCTGGCTAGTCTCCAAGTTCAGGCTAGTCAGCAGAGACCTCCCCAGACTTTCACAATCTTCAGAAGATGGTTGAGAGAAGCGCAGCACTAATGTTTCTAAGTCCTTCAGCACTCTGAAGGTGAATCTCACCAGGTCCATGGATTTATGAACACTGAGCTGCTGCAACTGTACAATATTAGGGACCATGGATGGAAAGTCACTGACTCTCCAGTCATGGTCCTCCATGTCAGAGGGTCAGGCAGACAAAGATCTGCCATTACTAAAAACTGAGGCAAAAAGGTCATTAAATGCTTCCACCTTTTCTTAAGCCCTTTTGTTTATGACTTGTTGGTCACCTGTATCAACTATCAGTACAGTGTTTTCCTTTGATCCCCCTTTGCTATTGACATACTTGAAAAAGCCCTTTTTGTTGTCCAGCATCAATTCAAGTTGAGCTTTTGCTTTCCCTGTTTTATCCCAGCTGTAGATGTAACTGAAGCTCTGTACTCTCCCCATAAATCCTGACTTTGCTGCTTGAGATTCTATGTTTTCTGCCCTAATTCTATGAGGGCTTCTCTGTTTAGCCAGGCCTGTCTTCCACTTTGTTTGCTTGCCTTGCAGCAGAATGGAATTGAGTGATCCTGGACTTTCAAGAGTTGATTCCAGGAAAGCGACCAGCACTCTTGGAGAGACTCTACAGAGAAAATTACTAGAGGACACTGCTAACTAGCTGCCTGAGTAGCATCAGGTTTTCTTTCTTAAAATAGAGAGTATTAACCTTTTTCTCCTTACGCCAAAAATTATGAAGTCAACTATTTCATGATCACTGTGTCAAAGACAGCTCCCTACAGTCACCTCTCTCTGGTCTCAACCAACAAATCCGGGAGGTTGCCCTTCCAAGTTTACTCACTAAATATTTGTGATAGGAAATTATCTTCAACATGCTTTAGTATTATACTAATGAACTGTGTAGTACTTGGAGGCAGAAAAAAGAGCTAAAATAAACTATCAAAATCCTTTAAACTGGATCAACCTGCAAGTTTGTTCAAGGATTCAATCTTTTCCTCAAGACAAAGCAGATGCCTGAAGCAACTCTATGTAAGTTATTTCCAGTAAGCTGTAGCTAACAGGTAGATTATCTGTACAATTATTTGAAAGGTTGCTCCTTTCATGAAGAATTCTCCACTGAAGTGTTTACACCCAATCAGAACTCAAACAACTTGATGAAATCTTACACTATTTTTTCCCCTTTTTAGCAAAGCTTAAAGGCACCCAACTGAAATATCAGACTACATAACAGAGTTGTATATCTCTCTATGTGAAGACAAAAGATTTCAAGACATCTTAGAAAGCTCAGTATCATTGCCTTCAGCGTACATGGGAAGCAGATGTCAAAGAGCTGAATCTGTTTTAACCCAGGAAAGGTTTGGAATTAAACACAGGTTTGAACTCTCAGCCCAACGCTTCAAGCACTAAACTGTAGCTCTGCAAAACACAATTTACTCTGTCTACCTACATCATCTCAGTGCAATAAATATGCAGAAGTATAAACTTCTCTATTTTACAGTGCAAAGGATAATCCCTCTCACTGAAAATTAATTCTATTATTCTTAAAAAACAAAACAAACAAACAAAAATAATAATAATAAAAAACCAAGAAAAAAACAACCACAAAACCAAGCATTTAGCAAACTATTGATTCTGCTATTATGCCATTTCAAATCCAGTTTCTTAACGCCTGTCTTACTGCAATGAAGTACGAAAAGTTTCGTTACATGGCAGGTAAATTTTAACCTTTGAGCATGTTAATGTGATGTGTGACTATCTGCGAAGAAGCTAAAATTAACCTTAACTGGGAATTCTTTCTTCGACGGCAAAGAGTGTAATACCCCAATCACTACAGATATGCAACATTTCATATACTAGTTCAGCACATTTGTACCTATTTCACAGCTATAATTAAGAATCTAAAATTAAAATTTGAATTGAAGTTTCTTTCTTATCTCTAGGTCTTCAGTCTATGATTCTGTTGTAAAATTGGTTGTTTTGCTGTAGCTTCCAATTATCAGTGGTCATTTACATAATCTTTAGAAATAACTTTGGTGGTTAACTCCTGCTAGTTCATATATATACACTTTGTAATGCTGGACTTTAAATTTTGCTAATTTTCCTTCACCACCTTCCCAACTTAGATGTACTAAGCGGTGAAAACAAGATCTTCATTCAAACTTCGCATACTCAGTACTTTGGCGTTCAGCTCTCCTTTTGTCTAAAAAGAAAGCAGCACACACTCTAATGCCTTTTTCTTTTGGTCTTCAAGAAGAATGACATTAAATGTGGTTTTTTTTCTTTTTAAATCTGCCAAAGCGTATTAAAAATTGTTTTTAACATTTCTTTTCTCTCTCAAAATAATTAAAGGACAAGCTCAGATTTCAAAACTTAAGAGTACTTAAATAAGGCAACCAGTTAACTTAAAATGTAATTTTAGAGTGATGGCAAGCTCCTTTATAGGAAATTGCCGTTATAAATGAATTTGTTGTTATTCTCCAACTACATTTTGGTAGTTTTTTCAATTTTGTAACTAAAGTAGACTTTGTACGGGTGATTTTTCAATCGCTTCAATAAATAACAGGAGATTTTAAATTATCACTTTACTCACTTGAAGTAGTCTGGTAGTTCATTTGTTGATGAAGGAGAATCTGTGGAGGCAGTGCACGTTTTTTCAACTCCTATAGAAAAGCAGAAGTTTTGACACTTGTGATAAACGGATTTTTAATATAGCCAAACAATAAGAACCTAAGGCCTGGAAAAAATCCTATAGAGTTCTATTCTGACAGTAAATTACTGCAAACAAGCTTTGTATATTAACAAGGCTCATATGACCTTCTCCACAGTACACAGTACTGCAGTTCAAAAAGAGGAACGGCTAGTTTATTTCTCAGGTTCAGCATGACCAAAGCATTAACCAGAGGTCAACTTTTATTAATTCAAGACATAACGTGGCATTTGCACAGCAATTCAAATTAAACAGCTTGAATAGCTGCACAATTAGATAGCTTGATTTATACCAGCATTCATGCTGCAGAGGACTACAATATGTACACTAGAAAGTTGAAGTTCTTTTTATGCCACATTTTTATCCTTCCTTCCCTGCCCTTTTTGGACATCCAAAGTTACATTTAATTTCAGCACTCTTTTATGCAGGAAAGTCAAGACTGTTGTGTATGGGTTACTGGCACTCAGGCTTCAGTAAACTGCAACAAAGAGACGTTCCTCACTAATGTAGCTATACCAAGTTTCCAAGTTATTTGCACTTGCAAATCGCCCTTTCGATGACATTATAAAAGCACCTCTATACCCTCTAATCAATTTAAAGAAATATTTCAAGACCCATCTACCTTTTTGATAAGTAAGAACAGCTGCTTTAAAGAAAATTAAGTTGTAACTGGAATTAGTGTTTTTTTCTTGTATCTTATCAAACCTCTGCCTTTTTTTTTTCATTGGTGTTTGTTGGAAAGCTTAAAAAACAACAAAAAAAACCTCTCTAATAATAATTATTATCTTACACTGCCACTGTCGAAGCACATTATTTCTGCTAATGCTCAGCCACTTTTACAAATCTGTAAGCCATCTGAGCAAAGGCAGGGGAAAAGAGTTATTTTACGATGTTCTACAGATGATGATTACATTTAATGTTAAAATTATAATGTTGAAAGCAGGAGGCATAGTAAAAAAGTAGTACATAAGTCAGAACAATATCTGAGAGAAATGCAGCCAGCAATGTTAACAAACACTACTTCTGTGAAGAGTTTTGCTTCGAGCATTTTACTTCCAAGAACTCAAACAATATTTGCTAAAATGGCTCAGCCCATTTAAAAGCTTCAATGTAGGGATCAACATTAGAGTTAATACAGATTTTTATTTCCCTAGTCATTTGGAGTTATATTGCTGGAATCTGGAGAAAAATGCTCACATGTTGATAAAGTCAAAATATGTTCAAGGTAATTTCACACCACATGTGGACACGAAGCAGTATAACAAGGGCATGTGGGAAAAGATCACCTCAAAGCACTTTTTCTACGTGCAGAAGAATACTTCAAAGGGGCACCTTGCATGCTCTAAACATACCTTCCAGCTGTGACAGCTAAGGGTCAACCTGACTTCTAGCCTGCTTTAGTAGTGAGTTCTGTGGCTGTTAAAGCCAAAACTCAAGAAAACTGTATGTCAGGTTATGTACGTTTTAGATTTTCCATGAAAATGCAGATTGCCATGAAACTTGTATTTCAATGCATGATCACATACATTTATGTCTGAACTGTGTGTTTCAGTAAACTACCATGCTGCACCTGTATGTCAAACTTTTCTAATTTCTAATTCTATCAATGTGCAGGTTTTAAAAACAGTTGATTAAAAAACATGCAGTAAACTTAAATAAACTTTCAGTTTAATGTAAGTCAAATAAAAAACCAAATCCATTACCTGTTTTTTTTTTCTAGCATCTATGCTTTCCTTTTAAAGATTTACTTTTCAATAGATACCCATGGAATATTTCCTTGTTCTAATGATTTCAGTACTGCAGAGAGAAAATTCTTTAAAATGTACCCAATTTTAGATAATGCTCTAGCAAAAAAAGTTCAGCCTCTGCTTCTGAGTTGTTTGGTGGGCTTTGTTTATTTTGTTTTATTTTATTTAGTTAGTTTCATAAAGAAGAAGCTGGTAACTAAAATATAATGAGAGAGGATACAACGAATTATTTCCTAATCCTTCGTTATCATAAAGTAAGAGATAATGGTAAAGAACTTAAAATACAGCAGGGGAAAAAGTAGATTATTCATGCTTCTAGTCTTTGTTCTTCTAGTGTCTTTTCAGAAGGCCTATTCATGCAATAGTTATGAGAAGCAGCATTTTAATACCTTCATCTGACTCCAAACCAGAGGGGCTTTTCATCATGGCAGTCTCCTCTTTTCTAAGGTCCGTTTTGCTTTCAAGTAGTCCTTCATCTTTCTGCTCTCTTGTAGTGTCCTGCTTTTTGATTTGGTCCTTCTCCTTATGCTTTTTGGCCTTCTTCATGGACTTCTTGCACAACACATCCTCCTCACCTGCAAATGTGGGATGTTCCAATTTACCAGCAGCAGGCGCTGGGGTTTCCAAAGGAGTCCGAGAGGTATATTTTTCTTGCTGGTGCTTGAAGACACTACTGCCACTTTGGCTGATGCTATCTACAGGCAGATCTTGCATCCCACGCCCCTCAGGTGTGCTAGGGGAGATTGAGCTGGCAGTCTGGGGCGGATTGGAGGCAGGCAGGTGGGCGGCAGGCAAGGATGGTGGGGCAGGTGCTGCAGTGGCAAGGGTTGCCTTCTTGCTGGGGGCAGGTGGGGGTCCACTCAAGGACGGCTGGACTCGACTGTTGAGGTGGGAGATCCTCGGCTTCTTGTTCATCAGGGGATCAATGAAGTTGAAATCCAAGAGCCGTTTCTGCAAAACAAAATGGAGTAGTAGCGTTCACTTCAATGAAGAACACCTAAGAACAAGCAGCTGTTGAACACAGATCTACCAACTAAAGAGGAGACAACAAAGAACATGTTGAAAAAACAGTTCTGCTGCAGCTGCCCCTCCAGCTATTTTGTCCAGTTGAAACATAGGTTCATGCTTTCCTCAACAAGCCTGTTGTGCTTTTTCTTGGTTTACAAGGTGGCACCATTTTTAAACTAAGCACTGGGCACAGTTCTGTGCCATCTAGTTGTAACACATAGAGGTCCATATCACACACACTATGTTGCTGTTTGACAGGATGAAAATAAGGGAAGAATAGGTGTGCCCTTCGTCCACTTTTAAACTCATGTATCTTAACAGTGTGAGATGCCAAGTACTTTACAGTTTGTCATTACACACAAGCTCTGGTGTACCTAAACTTCTTCAAATTTCAGTTGTTATGAAAATACAGTTTCAAAGAAAGTGTCGTACTTTTCCTTAAAGGAATGCATTTCATATGGATTTTTTCAAGCCACTTCTGAAGAGTTTGTATTGCACTTTTTTATTGATAGCAAAGCAGGGCGCAAGTATCTTAAGTTTGAAAAGGTTGGAAGAAGCCTGGACCCACTGATCCAGACCTCCCTTTTACCCTCCATTATACTGGGTGTTTAAAGATGGCAGCAAGAAAAAATATGTACCGCCACACAGCAGATTGCAACTGTAATTTCTGCTTATTCTAGCTTTTCCTAAGCATTATACTTAAACAGCAACATAATTATGTTTGTGCATCTTTGATCATTTTAACTACCACACCACAAAGAAACTTGAATACATGCAATCATACAACAAAAAATATATATACATTTATAGTTTTCAAAATGCCTTCCTACACACCAAGATAAACAAATCAAGGGGCAATACAAAACGACTTTAAGATTTTAATCAGAAAGTACATGATAATAATGGATAGTCAACAAGTCTAGCCTCTACAGATGAGCTATCTCCTGCAAGGGTCAGTGTGCTATTGATAGACAGGTGCTAACATCTCAGCTCTTCAAACACTACAGGGATAGCCTCCGACCAATCTAGACGTATTTACATGAGAGCAAGTACACAGCAATTCTGTCTTTCCAAAGATTCCGAACATTCTGAAACACGGAAGACTAAACATGGCAGCTTTTAGGCTATGTTATCATTAAGTCTTAAGGTCTTTGACAGTGCAACCATCTCAAAAAATAAAACCAAAAAAGCCCATAAGTATCCATCTAGAAGTAAATGCTTTAGTTTTTCATACGGCAAAGATAATACGAGTGCTCTGTATTATAGATTTTATTCCAGTATAAAGCAAGTTAAACCTTGGTACATTATAAATAATTTTTAAAAGCCACAAAATACCTGGGAAGGAGAAGCTGATGCAGCATCTTTACTAGAAGTTACAGGAGATCCCAAATGACTGGTGCTGGTGGTACTCTGAGATGAATTTACTTTTCTGTAAGGATTACCCACATTTCAGGTTACAAGGCAAAAGTATCCATGTCATAGTCCTTTCATTATATTGGCAAAACACACAGTTTCTAAAACTGTTATTTTCTTTCTTCTACAGCATGAGACCAACCTGCTTTGTTTTTGTTGCCCTCTTTTTTGAAGTTTTAATTTAAAAAATTTAAAAATAAAAGTTTTGTTACTAGCATACATTAACCATATTATATGTTTCATATGTGGCCCATGACAATTCCTCTTTACTTAATGCAATCCAAGAAGTCTAACTAGACCCCCATGTGAGAGAACTGAACTTACCTAGAAAGTATTAACTCCAATGTCTGTTTATCAACTTCATTGTATCCAGGCCAGTCTTTCTGAATGTCTTTAAATAAATAATCCTTCAGAGTATAAGAATTATCCTTGGGATTCAAGTTGGCTACCTAGACATTTACAAAAGAGAAAAAAAAAAAGACAATTATACCTAAAGGTAAACCACAGTAGTAATGTACAGCTAAATCAACAACATAAACAAAATCAAGCACCATTTTTATAGCTGAAATACAAAGTAGTTTTCATGTCATGTGTGCTGATCCTCAGAAATGTGGTCAAATTTGGATATAAAATTTTGGATGTAAAAAATCCCCCAAAGATGCAAGCTTCTATGAAATTGTGCTCTTAAGAAAAACTTTTCTCTGCATCACATATCTCTGCCTTTAAATACAGCTACGCCAGAATGAAATATGTGGAGAGACCTGTGCTGCTCAACTTCAGGATGACACCAGCAATTCCTGTGTTTGACAGTGCTGCACTGTGTTTGCAGAGCACAGAGTTCTTGGAAAATGCTTCTTTCACCACCTCAGTGACTGCAGAAGGAGCAAGAGAAGCTTTATTTGCCATCACTTGTCTTGTAAATAGAATCAATTTTCTTTTTCAGGTGACTGCGCCACAAGAAACAATACCTTTCTATTGAAAAAGCTTACTTGATAATGAGAAAGACACTTATTCATTTAGTATAAAGAATAAGTTTTCACCCATTCCATTAGTTTTAAGACACACTGGCTGTTTATGGGTGGAAAAAAGGTAACTGCAGGAATTCTTATCAAGATCTATTTAGGAATCAAGATGTATAGCTAACAGAGTGATGTACAGATGCATTCTTTCTCTTGCAGGCAGAGAGCTGACTGAAGCAAGATGCTATCATGAGGAAGTTATGTGTCTCTGAAAATAAGTTTGTTTTTTTAATCTTCCTTAAAAATAACACAAAGTATACTCAAAAAATTCAAGCTATCTCTAGCAAAATCTCATGACTAGTGACATCAAAGCACTGTTTCAGGCTTCCTACTCTGATACCTGCTCAAACTTTCAGAGAAAATCTCAAAGAAGAACAATGTCAATCCATTTGCCTCATACAAAATGCTCCAAAACTTTGCACCCACCACCACCACATTGTGCTGCCTTGAGCATTTTCTGTCCTGTAATGTTTACTATTAAAAGGTGTGAATGCTGATGCTCAATGAAGGAGGATTTAAATGTGCTTGTGGGTTAAGCATTCTTTATGTTTTGCTGTCTTTTCTGACACATTCTTGCACCTGATTTTAATTTTATTGTGGATAAATACTGCTAATCTGTGTGTGTTTCTCCTCTGCTTAAAAATAATTCAAAGTAAACAAAATATGGTGAATCTGTAAACTTTGTTAAAAACTGAATTAAAGCTGCATTCTAAGATAATGAAATATATGCATATGAGAACACAGTTTTGGTTCCTGACTTTAGGCTCCTAGAAAACTAATAATGAAGACAAGAAAAATGTCAACAAGCCTTTCTACAGTGTAGTGCTGCTAATTTGTTTATTTCTGAATGTAAACTAATACCTTTACACAACTCACACCACATAATAGAAAGAGACTCCAAGAAAGTCTCTAAACATTGCCAAAAATAATGGAAAAAGAAATGATTGTCATATTTTTTTTTACTATAGCAAGCAGAGCTTCAGAAACTTAAAATACAAAATTAATTATTTATGAAGTTGATTAAATTCATATGTAAGAACCTGGCTCTTTAAATTACACATCTTTGAGGTTAAAAAAAAAAAAAAACAACACCCTATCATCGTTCTGGACAAACTAAACAATACTTAAATTATTTGAACAACCACTGTTTAAAACTCAGTGCAGGATCAACTAAAACTGCATAAATATTGAGTTACTCACTGCAGTGATTTTCAAAACTATTCTAAATACACAGGAAATACTCCTACTTTACATACACAATACAGTCATCAGTCTGTGAGAACAGGTAGTATTAAAAACATTGCATGTTATTTTAATGGGCCTTATCAGAACTATTTCGTTAAAAAAGTAGCAGTATGTGGCACACTTGAACACAGAGCTTAGAAATCTCATCTACGTCATGCAGCAGGCCTACTGGTGATTTTTATGAATATGATACAGAAATGCAATGGGAACCCAGCTCACTGGGGCACTGGAAAAGCTAGCATACAGGGAAGAAGCCTGCAAGAAAGACAAGGACAGAATCCATATGATAGCAAAGCAGTTTTTTGTTTTTTGTTGCTTTTTTTTTTTTCCCCAAAAGAGACCACTGTTTTTCTCATTTACTGTTTGCTAAGACCGTCAGATCCCAAGAAGAGGCACTGACCATATAAAGGCCACCAACTACGTACATGTGAAATAATAACTTAGTTCATTATTGGACTTTACTCCATGTAAGTCTAGGGCAAGAAATATTAAGTACTAAGAAGAGCTACATCAAGCAACTGAGAGAAAGCATGGTCAGGTTCTCTTAATTACCTAGTTCAGCATTTTCTTTTTAAACAGAGGGAAGAAAAAAAAGAAGGCATTAGGAGCAACAAAGCTAAAAATAGTTAATTGCTGCCTACCATCCCAGCAAAACAAAACTACCCCCACATATCTTTTAATCTTTTCTTCCCTCACTTTGACTTGCATTTTGAAGCACGTGCATAAAGTCAGTTGAAACACTTAAATGGTGAGAGGATTATTTAAGGTGTTTATTATTTTCTCATTTAAACATGGGAGTAACACATCCCAAAATTATGACTAAAAGAATAGCAGGAGTAAAAAAAATGCTGGCAACCATGATCTCACCTGCTGCAGGATAGCTGTAAGAGAATTCCTGTCCTTCAGGTTGACACCATCTCTCTGCAAACGAGCAAGTAACTCTGGTTTCTTGTAGGTCTTCAATGCCAGTAAGTGAATCACTCTGTCTCTGTATGGTCGCTGAGAAACAGCATTGTTTGCATGAGTCCTCCGTATTGTATTTGCTGGGTTTATAGGTGTTGACCTCTTCCTTTCAGGCACAGGATCTGGAATGCTTTGTGGTGCTTTTCTTATCTGTACTCTTTTTCCTAAATTAAGAGTTTAAAAAAAAGAAGTTATATGGGAGTTTGGGAGAAGAAAAGGAATTTGATTTTAAAGAGATTACCAGGCCAAATAATCTGCAAGAACTGGATTTGGTTAGCATTTTAAGATCCACTGGAAATACACAGAGTGAAGATGCATTAAGGTAGGAATTAAGAAATTATTCAATACAACAAAAATCAGGTAAATTGGTTATATTGTTAGGAAGACTTCACTGTAAATTTAGTAAATGCTGATTTTATTATCTTTCCAGTCTATGATCTTAAGCACTGAATAAAATAAATCAGATTATTTTTGGAATAACACAGTTTGAAGAAAAGGCCTTCTATATAATTAAAGTGTTCGTCATTAATGCCAAGGGAGACCACGTCTGAACAAATAATAGCACTGCTGCTCAAAGAGACTACCAACCTGACGTCATTGCCTGACCTACTTATTTGAAAAAGAAAAGTTCTCCCCTCTTATTACATATGGCCATACACATGACATCAAGTTGGGCAGAAACAATACACAAAAAATCTAACTGTTCTTGGAATACATGACAAAGAAGTTTCAAAAAAAAGCCTGCAGAGCATTTTGGATCAAACTGTACAAAAACACATATTTCTCAACTGAAAGAACAATGCAAGTGCTTGCAAACAGTGAATCCAGAATGTTACAGCAACAGCAGTCAACCATTAACTTGAGTTTCCCAGGAAAAGCCCTCAACTTCTCCACTCCATTTTTTAATAACATCTGCTACAGTAATGGATGTGAGACAAACTGCATTTTTCAGATGTTAACAATTCGTGTTTGGTACATAAGGGAGGCTAGTGAATATGTGTCATAAGAACTGAAGCTCTACCACTCTTCCAACAGCAATGCTTGGAATTCAGGAAATTTCTGTAGTCACAGGAAAGAGAACAGCACATAGTTGTGTTTATACACTGCTATTCCCAGGAACAGTAAAAATTTATTGCCATTTTGCAGAAAAGGCCAAATCACTATAATCTTTCAATCTCCAGTTTTTGGCTTTCTGGTTTTCAAGAACAAACCTAACCACAAAAAGGCACATGATATGTTTATGGAGCAGCATGAACTTGCCAGTTGTGTATTAACGCATTTGATGTGTTGTCACAAGGTAAACACAGTTTAGATAAGCATCCCTGGCACTATGGATAGTGTATGTGGCATTCAAGCAAGCACCTTAAGTTATGTCTCTGAATCACTTTGAAAAAATCAACTGAAAACATAACAACATATTACCACGAGTGACAACCTCAGCTCCCAATCTATGCTGTGTGAAGCATGCTGAAAACCACCCTCCATACCTCCGCAGCAATTTAACCCTATCCTACCTTATCTTTGCCTGTGCCAGCCTGAAAAGAAGCATCCCCAAACACCATCATTCTCCTGCTGCTCATCTTCAGACCTCATTTATTTAACTTAAAAACATTCACTTGGAGCCTGTTCAAGCAACCATCGCAAAGAAGACAGATATCCATGTGAAATGGAGCTTCTCCAAGCAGAATGTTGTTGCAGAATGCAGTGACATGGCACATCTCACCTTGCAGCCTGGACAGTGCACATCCCAGTCCCAGTATTAACCCATTCCCAGCTCTATACCCACAACAGAAGCCACTTGCTCTTCATTTTGCAATTCTAAGAAGGTTCTGCAGGCAGAGACACAGGAGCATGCAGCTTGCCATGGCAGGGGTGTCTATGTCTGCACAGTGACAAAGCCCAGCACATGCTGGCTTTTTCTGCACAGGGACTGATGTGGCTTGTCTAGCTCACTGCCATGTCCAGCCCCAGCACTGTGTGCTCACCGAGACTCGTATCTCCATTCTCCTTGGAGAAACAGTACTCAAAATGGTTTAATGATGCAGTCTCGCCTACACATTTTGTTCTGTGCAAAATGATGAAATCCACATGCAGATGACAGTTATTTTTTATGGGAAAAAAATACGGTTTTAGAGTAACAACAGCTCATCCAAGATAAAAGCATAAACAAAATCTGATTAACATGTATGAAAAGCACATTTTTCGAAGCAAGTAATTGAATTGTGTAAGAGATGTCCTTGACTTTATTTTTTCTTTTTAATTACTTTTACAAGTACTGGTTTAACACTGTATTCTAAAGTGTTGCTACAGAACCAAAAACATTAGTTACTAAAACAGAGAAGGTATGTGTATGGGAAGATAAAACCCTGCACTTCAATGGTCAAAATTTTTACCAGCCAAGCAATAATAAGGAAGGAAGAGCTGGCAGGCTTTCCAGAGGAAAAATAAAGCCAACCCTTAATGCAGCAACAGATTTTAAATCTGCAGTATGATAGTGAGCCACCTAACGCTGAGACTTTTGACACATAAACTCTGCTGACAGTATGATGAAAGGACCAATTACTAAATTTGAAAACTTACAGACATCTAGTAGAAAAGGAAATACAACCATACCTAAATATGGTCCACCAGGCTTAATAACCTTTGCACTTCGATTGCGTAATTCCTCTTCTGCTTGGGTCATGCGCTCTTTGGTCATCTGATAGGAATCATTTGTTGCACATACTGTAATTTTATTCTGTATAAATCCCAGGCTACTCAGTTGTGAGGCTCCAGAACTATAAAAACATTGAGAAAAAATGAGCCCAAGCACTATTTCAAGTCTAGAAGTATGGTTGTATAAAAACCTAAAAAGCTGCTCTGTCAGGCAAAGAAAAATGTTTTTCAGTTCTCACCACTAGGTAATATACGTTTCAAATTATTCTGCAAACCAAACATCACTGTTTTATCAATGTTATCTGTCAATATATTTACAATATTCTCATATAATCACATACAAGAGGCAAGCTCAGGATAGTATGAGTTGCTACACAAAAAACTACTATAAACTACTCAGATTACAATGCAAACTGAAGTAGACTGACATCCAAACTATAAGCACTATATGTCTGTAAGCAGGCATGCCCAACCCGCAGCCCACAGGCAGCAGGATGCCCAGCACAGCTGGCAGTGTGGCCCAGCTGCCCTGCACCATCATGGAGGTGGCTCTTCACAGTGGAGCAGCCCCAGGCACGCACCCATTGCTCAGCAACAACCTAACTACTGGTGTGCTATTAACGCTGTGTCGACTGAAAACAAGAAAGGCACTGGGAGGGCAGTGCTGACTCAAGTGAAGGCAAATAACTGCTAAATACAGGGATCTGAACAGTCAAGAATGCGCAGCTGTGCTTTCAGTTTTGATAAAGGAGTTTGAGAACAGGGTTCAAGTCTGCCAAAAAAGTCATCAATTTATGTTTGTGACTTCATTTTCAGTTGATACACATACATTACCTGCAAATTTTCAAACGGAACATAGAGAGTTGCAATGAGACATTCAACTCAAAAATCTGATCGTGCCTCTTTGTCAGACTTCCACATTTCCCCTCTTACACCCCTTGCTTCACAACCATACTTTATTCAGCGTCATTGCTTTTTGGCAGTATGTATATTTGTGAACAATAACTTGCAAGGATGAAGCACACGAAGACTAAAATTTCATCAGAAATCTCAACTCAACGTTTTGAGAGCTCACTGAGAACTGCAACCCCTGCATTGAACTTGACTGATGCATCAGTTTCACAAAAACATAGTGAAACCCACTAGTTTTATGGGTTTTGTTCCTCTTTTTTTTTTTTTTTTTTTTTAAGGTTTTAATAAATACATTAAAATTCTATGTTATTTATATATTAACAATATTGTATATTTTACAAGAGCTGTTCTGAAAATAATACCTCCTATTTTACAATGTCAGAGGCAGATGGTGGTGGTAGAGCAGCAGAGGTTGGACTTTCCTGCCAGCATCCCATTACATATTGTGTGACAGATGGCAATAGAGGACCAATCTGACAAAATGGCATCTGACATGGAAGTGCAGATGCAGTAAAGGTGTGTGACTGAAAAAATGGTACCCATTGACATTCATCAGCACTTGCTGAATGTTTATGGAAACCAAACAGTGAATGTGAGCACAGTGAGGCAGTGGGTGCTGTGTTTCAGAAGTGACAACAGTGACAGTGGGTCGCCTCTGCTGGTGTAGATTTCTATGAGTGCAGCAGGCAGGCTCTTGTTTATCGCTGGTGAAAAATGCACAGCTAATGGTGGTTACTGTGTTGAAAAAGAGTGTTCAGTAGTTGAGAATCTGCTCTATTGAATAGTGTTATTGTGCTCTTTCTATCTATTGAGTTTCCATGGAAATAAATAAGAGGCATTATTTTGGAGTAACATATAAATGTAGCCCAGTACAATTCCTTTTTACTCAGTGGTGGCAAGAAAAAGTTGGACACCCATGTCTTAGAGCCTTCTCAAGTCATGCTCAGCAATTAGTTAAACACACATTTGAAAGTCACCTGCTTCCTCTGCCTGTCAAAGGCAGAGGTCTTGCCCATCATTGCTTTAGTCCCTCTGAGGTTCAAGAGACGTAAGCCAGACTTTCCCTAAAGCTTGCATGCTATTTGCCATCCTGAACTCTCTCAGGATCCCCTGCTGACTCAGTGTTTGATAGCAACCTGCAGCACTTGTGGTTTAACTATCTGCTTCTCTGGGGATGTGTATTTAAATAAGGGACACTTAGACCAAAGCCCCATGCAACAGGAAAGAATGCAAGACCAGATATGTGTCTCCTCAGCAAAGTGCAGGTGGGCATCAGGTTTCTGAAGAAGCACAGTCCTCTAGGATTTCTGCCTTGCATTCACAGCAGCTGCAGACATCAGCAGTGGCTCATGGTCAGAGGCGTCAACAGTTCCAAACTAAGTGAAAAGGGAGATTTTCCCCAGAACTGCGTCCTCATTTCTCCTGGATAAGTTTAAACACATTTTTACAGTGTAATACTCTCAGCCAGATGAGCACACATGTAGCCTAGATTTCCTATATAGCCTAATAGCAACTTAATTTAGTCTGGTTTAGTGACTATGGCTGTTAACAATTATTTTGTGCAGCACTCACCTCAGCAACACCTCCGAACAGAGAAAGGATGCTAGGCTGCACCAGAGCAAAACATTCTGGACAACCCTAAAGATGATTTGAATAACCTAGTAAAGGTTCCATAAAAAAAGGCTGAGGAACATTTGGCACCTTGTTTCTTAATTTACCAAGTTGTTTCTGAAAGTCACAAAGGTAGACCAAGCCGAGTCACTGCACAGTATTTCAAGATACAGCTACAATTTTGTCCAACCAAAGCTCAGAGCTGTATTTTTGGTATTATTTCTTGCTCAGAAATCACAGCATTTACAAAAGAAAATAGTTCTTGCCATCTAGAGCACAAATTCTACCTACTGCACATTTCCTTGAACATTGCTGTCTTTATACACCATAGGAACTGAACAGTTCAAGAAGGACCATCACCAACACCAAAGCATCATGCACTGGTCAGCAGCATGTGGTATGCTACCACCATGTAGGACTGTAGTGGCCTGACATGAAGTCAAGAAGATAAGGAGTTCCGTGTGGCAGTCTTAGAGCATGGTACAGCTCCCAAACCAGCTCTAAAATATTCCAGAGCAAGAACAGATTGAACACAGCTCAGAACAGGCTTACGCCATGGGAGCTTCTGAGCACTGACCAAGGGCACTGCGCAATCTACTGCAGAATAGGCTGCAAAACTTAAGCCAGTTTTGAAGCCAGACCCACCTTCAGCAGGAAACCAAATACTCTCCAGAGGTTCCTTATGAATTATTTTCAAAAATGATTCTGCATTAAATACTTTGAACAGACCAAGACCTGACTACAAAGAAACAAAGTGAAAGCTCATCTGAATTAGATTTTGCAGAGCCACATTCAAACTATGTAAGCATATTATTCAGAATTATTTCTAACTAAAAGTTCTTAAATTTAGTCTTACTTATAAAATGAATTCAGTTTAGTTTAACTGAATCTGCTCCTTCCCAAGCAACAAAGAGCCCACAGAGAGGCTTAGTGAAACACTGGAGTCAGACTTGAGAACCCTAAAGAAGGAGCCTGATGCGGTATCTCTCAGAAAAACGATTTTTATGAGTCCTCCACAATGGCTCTCCTTAAGGTCTCTTGCAGATTTTCTAATTGGGAGCTGGCAGCAGCCTCGGTACACTAGCAGCTGCAGTACATGTGCAGAGCTTTCAATCAGACAAAAGAAAGAAGAAGCAAGACCTCTCAACTCAATATGCACTCCTGTAGGCTTACTTTGTACCTCAGCAGATGTCTGACCCCTTTCAGACACAAATTAAACAAAAAAAGAAACACCAAAACACACCACTCCAAACTTGAAATCACTAAACTGTTCAGCTTTTAGTGGTTCCATTAGTTGCATGAGTTCACAGAAAGGCTGCATTGTAGTAGAAGAAAACTAACACAGAGAAGGAGGATGTTTAGAGATCTTCTGTCAGGCAGAGAGCTATTCAATCAGCTCATTTTCATACTGCTGGCAAAATTCTCTATCTAGACAAATCCCATGTTTCCAGAGTAAGGGCAGAAGCTTTTCTGTACCACAAACACGATTAGCACCTGAGACACGCTTGACTGGCTGTTTGCTATCAGCTTCCAATGTGATTAAACAAAATCTGCCTGCAACTTCATAATAAACAAGACAGACAATTGTTCACATCAATGCTACACTAAGTGCGTTATTGTCGGCGCTGAGGCAAACTTGACATAGAAAGATAGTATTTTCTTGGCCATTACTTAGACAATTAACACTTTTTCCTTTACTGAAATGAATCAGGACAAAGTGCTTCTGTACTGCGTTTGGGCTCTGAAGTGCAGCAGTCATGCAGTTATGGGTAAGGTCACTGATTAATGTGGTTCTTAAAGTCAGACAACTATCCATTATGGCTATCCTACTAGCATGCTGCCAGTTACATTTACATGTGGTTGGAGAATGGACCTGGTCTAGCTTGAATGATACGGAACTCCAAATGCTTTTAAAAATAGCATGAAGAGGTGAAAAATTACTCAAAGCTTCTTCTTTTTAAAGCAAAACCAAAATAACTCTGTGTAAAAGCTAGTATTTATAATGAACAAAAAATTATGCTACTGCTAGGAATTTTTTTTTTTTTTTTTAACTGCAGCTCATCACTAAGAGCATGCATCTGTTGAAGATTTTTGCTATATGCTCAAAGCCACAGAATCTGCTTAGATTTGCCATGACAGAAAATGTTAAGTAAAACTTACCTTGAGGCAGTTTGCTGGATACAGTCAAAGCTTCCCTGAGGGTTATCTTTGCCAACATTTGACAAGTAGAAGTTAAATGTATGCGATTCATTTGGGTGATCAACTTTGGGAATTTTAATAAGCTAAAAGGAAAAGAAAATGTTTATGTAAGGACTTCCATCTAAATTCCTTCGCTTGTCATTAGCTACAATATAAAAGTCTTCTTAGAATTTACTTCTAAAACAGAAAATGTTTCAATTTCAAAAGTTTTAGCATGTTTTCAGTTACATCACCAAAAAGTCTGAATTGGCATAACTCTACCTCTGAAAACAGCACCAGCTATATGCAGCAATTGTATTTGTACTAGAAAAGCTACAGTCAGTCATTCAGCACCCAATTCAGCTGAGCATTCAAGTAGGAAATGGTCTCTTCTGATTTAGTGGAATTAACATGCATGTGCTTAACTTTATATGCAAGCGTCTGAGTACAGTTAAACAGACTGAAGATCAACTAACATAACAGAGCAAAACAACATGCACAGACCAACTTTGTGATTTATGCAGTCCTAATAAGGCATGTACTGGAGTCAGATACAAGAAGAAACAGTAACACCCGAACTGCAAGCCTAAAGTTTCTTAAATTATCAAACATGAACAACTTCAACAGATAACAAAAGCCTTTTTGCTTTGCTTAGCTCTGGATTCAGTTATTTGCACAAATGTGACATGTAAATAGTTTTTGGTACATTTAGTCAGAAACAACAAAACTTGATTTCCTTGGCTGAGCTAATTATTTAGTAAAGAATGTGCCACATTCTGCTGGAGCTGAAAAATGTAAATATGGGAAATTGCTAAAATGTTTATTGGCAGACACAGATTTTTCAATGTGCTGTTTTTTTTTAAAAAAAGCACAACTTTTATAAAATAGCCCTTGAGCACACACACGCACACACACGCACAAAAAGCTGCCATTCAAACACTTTACTCTGAAGGTAAAATTAGCTTGCATGAAGTTGAATAAGATGTTCTGAAATTTGCTTGTTCTGAATTTTTGTAAAAATAAGGAATATTTTGTATATTGAATTGTATATAAAATATGGAATTTTATACACAAATTATAAACAAGAAAAGTTTTGAAAAACAAGATTCAATAGTCTTAGAAATCTTTCTGTTATCATTTTGCTTATGAAATCATCCAGTCTTCACAGAAGTCAAGATCATTCGCACAAAGTACAGATAATTGAGTCTTTCAGTTTTATATTTTAATCATCAGTACTGCCAGAGCTTAGCAACAGCTTGTTGCAGTGGCTGGACACGGAGAAAGACAAGGCATCTGAATGCTATATTCTTTTACTCAAGATCTAAAGTAGTATTCTCAAAAGAGCAATGTAGGCATTTGAAATAAGAGATAAAACAAGATACCAGATGCATAATGTTGGATTATATATGTAGCTTTACCTTGTGACTGTTAAGAAGATTACTACAGAGTAACCATCAACCTAAAAAGATCATAGGGACACAGATGACACTAAAATTCTACATTCTATAAAATATCACTGACAGAATGTTTCAATTTACTGATTTTATGATACACAGCAGGTGTGTATGCATGGATTCGACAGCACCATATGCAGTGGATTGCGGGTTCTATCCTTTGTAGAAGACACGATGTGTTTTTAGCCTGATGTAGTTTCTGGAAAAATGGTAAATATGTAATATCATTTGTCAAAGGCTGCCCATCTCAAATTGCAGCCAAACAGAAGCAGGTAATTGTTGCTGCATATGCTTGCGCTTCATTCTCAAAATGTTAGGACAAATCTTTATTTTCTATTAATCAGCTAAAAGAATCTAAATGCATGCAATGGCTGTAAGAGGTAATACCTACATCAGAATATCTGCACCTGAAAGTTTAGAAGAATACATTTTAAAAGATATTTGTTGCTGTTCCACTCCCTTCAGCAGAGTATCATTTATTCTAGATGTTGAGAAAGACATAGACAAAGTACGAAGAAAAAATAAGTTTGTCTCCCTGCAGATAGAAATATACAAAGGAAATCACCATTTGAGTTTGCTGAAATTGAAACCCCAAATCTTCTTAAGGCTTCCTCTCATTCCCTCCCACCCACTTTTGTAAGAAAGTCACTAATGGTGGCTTTCTAATTTAATCAGAAAGGCTTTAAACTAGAGTTGCTGAGGATGGGGGTCCTCAAATCACTGCACTTTGAGGCTGACAATGGTAATGGATGCCCTGGGCTTGGAGTAGGATCATAGGCCAGTAAGACAGCACATCCAGCAAGACAGCACATAAAGTTCAGGATAAGGGAACTCTAATTGGTAAATCAGCCTAAATGGGAGCCCAAATCAAGCACCTGTACAGCAAAGAGTGGAGCATGGGGAACAAGCAGGAGGAGTTGCAGGCATGTGCATGCCTACAGGGCTATGATGTCCATGACATCACTGAGATGTGGTGGGATGACTCTTATGACTGGAATGTAGGAATAGATGGGTACAAGCTAGTTAGGAAACAGAGGCAGAGAAGAAGGTGAGAGGGTGTTGCCCTCTACCTCAATGACTAGCTGGAGTCCATGAAGCTCCACCTGGGGATAGACAAAGAGCTGACAGAGAGCTTATGAGTTAGGGTTAAAGGGAAGGCAGGGGAGACATCATACAGGCTGCCTGATTGGGAAGACCAAGTGGATGAGGATCTCTATAAACAGATAGGAGCAGCTTCATGTTCACAAAACATGGTTCTCATGGGGGATTTCAACAACCCTGATGTCTGTTAGAGGGACAGCACAGCAGCGCACCAGAAATCAAAGAGGTTCCTGGAATGTGTTGATGATAACCTCCTCTTCCAAGTAGTACAGAAACCCATAAGAAAAGGCGCTATGATGGACTTTTTCCTCACCAACAAGAAAGAACTGGTGAGTAACATGAAGCTTGCAAGGGCTGCCTTAGCAGTAGTGACCATGAAATAGTGGAGATCAAAATTCCCAGGGTGACAAAGAGGCTGCACAGCAAGCTTGCAACTCTGGACTTCAAGAGAGCAGAACCTTGAACTCTTGAGGGAACTGCTTGGCACAGTGACATGGGAGAAAAGTTCTGGAGGGAATAGGGGCCCAAGAAAGCTGGTTGGTATTCAAGTACCATTTCCTCCAATCCCAGAAGCAGTGTATCACGAGAAAAAAGAAAGCAAGCAAGAATGCTAGGAGACCTCTGTGGATCAACAAGGAGCTCCTGGACTTAGTTAAGCTCAAAAAGAAAGTCTATAGGGAGCAAAAGCAGGAACAGGTTACCTGGGAGGACTACAAAGAAGCTGTCTGAGCAGCCAGGGATCAGGTTAGGAAAGTAAAATCTAGACAGAATTGAATCTAGCCATGAACATAAAGGAGAACAAGATGAAATGCTACAGGTTTGGTTTTTTTCAATCAGTGTTAAAAAGAAGGTCAGGGAGGATGTGGGTCCTCTCTGGAAGGAAATCAGAGACCTGGCCATGAGGGATATGGAGAAGGTTGAGATGCTCAGCGATTTCCTGGCCTCAGCCTTCACTGGCAAGGGCTCTAGTCACACCACTCACGTTGCAGAAAGCAATGGTAAGAAGTTAGATCTGCCTGCTGTAAGTGAAGATCAGGTTTGAGATCATCTAACGAATATGAGGGTGCACAAGTCCATGGGACCCAATGAGATCCGTCCATGCATTTTGAGGGAACTGGTGAATAAAGTTGCCAAGACACTATCCATCATATTTGAAAGGTCATGGCAGTCTGGTGAAGTCCCCACTGATTGGAAAAGAGAAAACATAACCTGCATTTTCAAGATGGGAAAAAAAGAAGATCCAGGAAACTGCAGGCCAGCCAGTTTCACTTTTGTGCCTGGTAAGATCATGGAGCAGATCCTCTTGAAGGCCCTAGTAAGGCACATGGAAAGTAAAGATGAGGTGGCTGGTGGTAACCAACATGGCTTCACCAAGGGCAAGTCATGCCTGACAAATTTGGTGGCCTTTTATGATGAAGTTACAGAGTCAGTAGACAAAAGAAGAGCAACAGACATCATCCACCTGGACTTGTGCACAGCATTTGACACTGTCTCACATGACATCCTGGTCACCAAAATGGAAAAAAAAAAAAAAATAGATTTAATGAATGGATCACTTGCTGGATAAGGAATTGGCTGGATGGCTGCACACAGAGAGTTGTGGTCAGTGTCAATGTCCAAGAGAAGACCAGTGATGAGTGGCATTTCTCAGGGACCGGTGTTGAAACTGGTGTTATTTAACTTCTTTGCAGGCAATGTGGACAGTGTGATTGAGTGAACCTTCAGCAAGTTTGCAGAGGACACCAACCTTTGTGGTGCAGTTGACAAGCTAGAGGGAAGAGATGCCATCCAGAGGGACTTGAAGTGGCTTCAGAACTGGGCTCATGCCAACCTCACGAAGTTCAACAAGGCCAAGTGCAAGGTCCTGCATCTGGGCCAGGGCAATTGTAAGTGCAGATACAGGCTGGGTAGAGAATGGCTTGAGAGCAGCCATTCAGAAGAGAATGGATTGGGGGGTGATGAAAGATGTGATGACCTGGTAACGTGTGCTTGCAGACCAGCAGGCCAACTATATCCTGAGTTGTATTGAGAGAAGTATGACTAGCAGGTTGAGGGAGGTGATTCTACTCCTCTACTTCGCTCTTGTGAGACTCTACCTGGAGTATACTGTGTTCAGTTCTGGAGCATCCAATAAAAGAAGGACATGAAGTTGTTGGAGCAGGTCCAGTGGAGGGCCTCAGAGATGACCAGAGGGCTAGAGAACCTCCCCTCAGAGGTCTGGCTGAGAGATCTAGGGCTTTACAGCCAGCAGAAGAGGCTCCGAGGAGACTTCGTTGCAGCCTTCCAGTAGCTGAAAAGGGCCTACAGAAAAGTTGTGGAGGGACATTTTATAAAGGCAGGTAGTGACAGGACAAGGGGAAACGGTTTTAAACAGGAAAAGGGTAGATTTGGCTCAATATTAGGAAGAAGATTGGAGTGATGAGACACTGAAACAGGTCACCCAGTGAGGCTGTCACTGTCCCGTCCCTGGAAGCACTGAAGGCCAGGCTGGATGGGGCTCTGAGCAACCAGTCTAAGAGGTATCCCTGCCTAAAGCGGGAGGACTGGAA